TCTCCACGACATTTAATTCTTGCTATCGTCCCGTTATAAAATGATTTAATTGCCCCCACAAGTCCTTTGCTAAAACCCCTTTTTTCCAAGGCTTCCCAACGTTTCACTAACGGCACGCTGTCATAAGCTTTCTGAAGATCCACAAACACCAAGTGCAGCTCCTGGCTGACCGCCCTTTTCTTCTCGATGACCTGGGTAATGGTGAACAGATGGTCGACGGTAGACCTACCGGCTCTAAAACCAGCCTGTTCTTCGGCTTCCTGGCCGCTCCAAAACTCTTCGACCTTTGCCTTGAGAATTTTACCTTAGGCCTTGCTCAAGGTTCCTGTGACCGATATACCTCTGTAATTATCGCAAACTTGTTTACTACCTTTCTCAGGCGAGCATTCTACCATTGAACCACCGATGCCTTTCAGAGAAACAGCTATAAATATTACATGGAAATGGACGGTCTTCAGTCGAAAATTTCCCATGGGGTTTATTTAAAGGGGAAACCTGGATTTACTGCAGAAAATAACCTATTTTGGGTAACTTGTTGTAGAGGAAGGTATTCGAACTCCCTGAATCTTTCTTTGGGAGCCGCGTGATTCAGCCGTAAGAAAAACTTCCGTCATTTCGGGGGCAAGATGTGACATAATAATTGTCCAAGACATACTTTTTTCCCATTTGTAACACAACTGCAATAATCATTCATCGAGCATCGAACCAAAAGATCTGACATCATCGCAAACTTCCTGTGCACAGATGACGAAAGATCAGAGTGACCGAGTTATCTCAAACCTGTAGAAAGTTTCAAATATGAACGACACCCACTCCGATTCAAATCCACCCGATCATAAAAAAAACCCCGAAAATGGTCAAATCAATTCTCGTGCACTTCCATGTCAGCCTGGGTTTGACACATTCCCGCGGCGACGCGACGGTGCGTGACGAGCAGTCGCGAGGCGTGAATGATCGTTTATCGATATTTCCCCATTTGAAGTCATGGTAAAGAATAGATCATTAAGGTGTTCGTTACAAACACCCGGTTTATCGATCCTTTTCCATATGCTTAAACGGCAGATGAATCGATATATCGCCAAGCACGCTACACCACCGGTTATGAACGTTGGCAAAGACTCTAACGATCTCACCTCTCATAGACACCCACTAAATAAAAAAACGAGTTCTTCAGAGTAATCGGATTTCACAATCCTGCGACCGCTTCGAGTGTTTGTCGAGACCGGGGGGGACTCAAACACGGGTGTCCACTTCAACTTATTAAACTTGCAACCGCGTCAAGTGCCTCTTCAAAAGTACTCATCTTTGATTGATCCACCTGATCCCATCTCGCTACCTCGATAAAAATAATTAACCCTGCTACCGAATACCATAGAAAGTAGAAGTCACCGAATAGGAGGGGTTGTATTTGATTTTCTAACTCTCTCCCCTCTCTTTTTTGTATCTTTATGAAACAGATTTTTTTTAGTAAAATTACATGAGTGGAAAGGACGTGTCAAGGTTTGCGATGTTCTATAAATGTTACCTGTGCATTCTGCTGTGTCGGAGAGGAATGTAAATCATTATTCGGGTGAAAATTTTACTCTCATCAAGCTTAATATCAAACAGATTTTAGAGATACAACTGTTGATATTCCTTCATGGTCATCAGTGCTTGCCTCTGTGAATAGGATTACTCATCACAAAGAGAACATGCTCATTAAGAGTAAATCCTTTTTGGAGTTATGCTGCTTAGATCATTTACTAGTTATGACCAATTAGAAGGCAATGGACCTCGAGTTAGCCCTTGCATGTGGCAGGAATTTATTATTAAAGTATTGATTTTCATGTAAAATTTTTCGAAATACACGATGGTGCCACTGGTTTTCTCCGAAACAAACTCCAAAACTCATGTTAATGCTGTAATGGAGGGATATCCTGTAAGTCCTCATCTATATCAAGTCAAACTATGTATGCAAAGATAAAAATACATTAAACATAATGCAAACACATTAACACGGTTGCCACTGCGTTTGGGACTCCACAACTGAAAACACGGCAACCCTGCAGGGCCGGATTAAGGGGGTGGCCTCATGGGCCGCGGCCCATGGCGGCAAATTTAGGGGGCGGCAAATTTTGCAATTTTTTTTAATGTAGGTTAAAAAAAATCAGATTCAGAAAAAAACTTATGAATGAGAAAAGGGGACAAAATTTCTCTTTTCTGAGAGTATAGTAATTTCGATTTTTTTCGTTTTTCGGTGATAGAGAAGACAGCATCTTTAATTAGTCGAGTTAAGAGAGGAACTGAACACGCAATTTGGCCTGGAGCTCAGCGCAGAGAGGAATGATGACAAGGACTTGAAAAGAAACGGACAAACCCTCGGCGCGGCGCGGCAGTCGGCATGTAACACATATTAGCGCCTACAAGTCTGCATGAATACTTCACGCATTGCGCCAAACACAGTGCTTTCAACGCGGCGCAGGCGCAGCGGCGGCGGAACAAGTTAAAATTATTCAACCACATTTATGTTTGTTCTTTCATAATTTTTTGGTTCATTTCTTATAAACGGAGGACCTTGTCCACACAGAGACAGGTTTACAGAACTTAACTTTCGCGCCAAGTTCCGTGAAATTTTACTAGTAGTGTTGACAGGGCTTTCGCAAAAAATGTATCCAACATGACTAGATAAACACGTCTTATGCACCCCTCCCCCTCCGGCATGCTCACTTGATGGTTTTTATTGATGTTTCAAAACGAAAAAGAAGGGGGCGGCAAAATACAGGCGACCCATGGGCGGCAAGTAGGTAAATCCGGCCCTGCAACCGTGTTAATATATTTGCTCCGTATCTTTGTGTGGAGGGTTTGACTTTATTTGGAGGACTTTCAGGATAGCGTGGAATATCCCCTCCATTACGGCCTCATCTTTCAGAGGTTTCTGTGCGCTTTGGAGTTCGTTTCAGACAAAAACCAGTGCCACCATCATGTTTCTCATAAATTACGCATGTAAAAATACTAAAATTGCAAATCCCTCAAAAACACTAGAGCTCCATTGCAGACGCATTTTGGATCCCATCAATCTGGAGCAACGACTTTCCTTTGAATCTCACGACTTTAAGTCAAAATCAAGGGCTTCGTGCAAGGAAGTCGTTGGCATGAGAAACGAAAAGTAACAATGTAACGAGCTCGTAAAGTCAAAAGGGTTTTATGATCGGGCTCGGAGCATACACTGTGTTGTAAGATTCATAATTGGACATCTCCTACACCTGTCTCAACCATTTTACAAGAGCCTGCGCCTCATTTCCGACCGAAATAGATCTCCGAACAGAACAATTTCATCTCGGATTTGAAGGGACCATAATTCGAATCCGAGGTCGGGAAAAACGGTGAGTGATGGACCCACTGAAATAAATCCGAAGCGACGGAACGAGGTGAAAATCTGATCGTTTATGAGTATTTATGGGCGCTCGCGTCGCGGCGAAAGGGCGCCGAGTGCCAAAAACACGAAAAGCCGGCGCCGGGCTGACAAAAGGGCTTAACTGCACACCGGAATGAGCCCGGGAAAGTATATTGAAGTGAATGGACCACAGGGTTCACTGCAGAGTGTGGTTACGTCCTTAGCGATGCGACGTCGTGTGCGTTTGCAATTGCGATTCCGACTTTTGGCACGGTCCGCCGATAGGTGACACCCAGGTAGACCGTCTCTGCAGGTGGCTGTGAAGATCGTTTAGCCGTCTGAGTGCTTGCCCAAGGTCTCTTTCACACTGAGCGATGACTGCTGTGAGGAGCTGAGACTCGATTTTATGTCGCATTCATCATAGAGTCCTAATGTGACTGCGCAGGTAAAAAACAAGATGGTGGAATAGGGCTGAGTTTACACTATTTTTTAGGGAAATCAAAAAGTCGGGAATACCAAAATTTAGAATAAGAGCTTAAAAGTTAATTCTAATCAGTGCTAGTGCGATTTTTTAAAAGGGGGGAGGGAGTATTGGAAATGTTTTCTGCAAACTTTTTTTGGGTGAATTGAGTTGCAAACGAACCTAAACAATGTAGGGAAAAGAGTAGAGAAAAAGTTTCAGATCGCTTTTGTAGTGCGTTTCACTCAGCTTTTTATTTGCAAGCTGGGACATCGTGCGACTATACGTGATACCTTATAGGTGGGTGAGCACTGAGCAGGCTTGCAGTCACTATATGATGTATTTACGGTAAGAAGAAATATGTGCGAATGAATTGATTCGGAAAGAGCCATGAAGGATGTAAATCCTACGTACATGGCTCCTTTACCATGCAATTCCCATGTATCTAGTTCCTTTTCAGCTAAATACGTCCTATGGTTTGAGAAGAAAGGACAACTCGATCGATAAGTTGAAAATACCGTCCAATTCGATTAAAGTTTTTGGCAACGGGAGGTGTATCAATGAAAGTCATCTTATTCCGATGAGAATTCCCACAAATTTAACTTCTTCATTTGGCAAATTTTGAAAGGAGAAAGCCACTATTCAACAAAGTTTAATCTCATCGGCGTGTTTCCCCCTGAATCAATCTAATTTTAAAGTCTAATTTTAATAGTCTTGAGTCCCTTAGAGGCCTATTCGAGAGGTTTCCGCCCTGCCGCATGAACGAATCCATTCTGCGTTAAACAAATAAAGATTTTCAAGGATCGTCGCCGAAAATTTTCTCTTCGATGTGTATTATTAATTATACAGGACGAACCCTCAACACGTATAGAATAAACTGCTTGCTGATATCACACGAATTCGCATTCCCCCTATAATAATTCCCATGCAATTTAAAACTGCTTTTAAATCTAGATTCATTTTTCAATTTGATAAAATATTGAGAACACACACTATCATGTATTTCAAAATTTACATTCTGCACAAATAACATACGATTTTCCTGCTCCGCATGCATTTTAGTTCAAGTTGCACTAAAAAACAAAAAATCAATATGAAAGAACATGGAGAAAGCTCCCGAACACTGTCTTCATCCCCTTTTCCCTGGAAACGGCTTAATGTACTCACGTTAAATTCTATACTTGATATTTGCAAATTTCAACTTGAACCGCACCTGAAAAAAAAGAGAAGTATTTTTCAATAATGCAAAACGGTTATAATTTCATTCACACCGAGACAGCTCAGACCGAGAGCCGTCTCCACATAATTCCAGGAAAAACAGGCGAAAAATTATTAACGCTAATACACTATACGTCTACTCCCGGCGCTTCGGAACAAGCGACTTGAGATGAGTTTTCTCCCCTTTTCCGAGAAACCACCTCGTAGAGTTTACACCGATACCAACGCGCTACGAAAAAACGTCATTTTAACATTTGAATATTGCCATTATTTTCCAATAAAAAACACATTTTCTGGGATATTTACGAGTTATTTTCTTCAAATTTTCAAAGAATTTTATTCGCAATTTTTAGTAATGATTGAACATCCAGGTATCAAGAAAAGACTCTCTTTACTTTCCTCCAAATTAAATATTCCACCGTAGCAAAGTTGGCAATGTGTGAATGTTCATATGACGTTTTTTTTAAAGACGGCAGGAAAAACTACTTTTTCAAAGTTTATGAATTCCGTCGGAGACGGTCCTTAGCATAAATTACACCGTGTTTCACTTAGTGGAAAAATAAACCGAGAAAAAGAAGTAAATTCATCCCAGGATGAGCCCCACCATGCTAACAAACGTGATATCACTGGGTGAATCCTTCATCGAAACATGGCTTCGATTACATCGAAATCGGTTCTGTTCATGACAGAGTCCCTTTCAATGCTATAGATGGAAATATATCGATATGTATCGATCGATAACAAGAAATGATTCCATGATTTACAGGGCTCACGTGAAAATGAAGCACTGCCACTTCCTCATAGAGGGGAGCGACGATACTTGTTTCAACATCTTCAGCTTCCAGGTATTTCATGTGCATCAACGATTATTATGCTATGAAAACCCGTAGTCTTCGCTCATGATTTTTCCTAGAAAAAAAAATCTATAGTATGTTTTGGAATAATTACGGAGCCTCTTTCTTTTGGTTGAATAAACCGCGAGGCCTGAGGGGGAAAAATTGAGAGAGGGAGAAAGAGAGGGGAGGGGGAGAGAGAAGGGGAGAGAGAGGAGAGAAATATCTTTGGACGATGTAAATAGCAGTGTAACGGACTTCATTTCGTTAAAAGGAACTACGATTTCTGGCTCATCTATAGAGGAGGCTATTTACATACGAAAACTATTCGCGTATGTATTTTCTACAATGAGTCATTGCCTCTTGTTTCTCATTGCAAGATGCAGTCCAAATAAGGAACAAGAAGTTAAACTCAACGCCTGAATGCAACTATTCGCGCTCTATGGATGAGTATGTTGCCTAAGCGAAGGATTGAGGGCGTTTCGGAATTGTATCCCTCGCGGAAAGTAATTTCAAGCGTTCAAGCTTGTTCCTTTCCGTAGTTTTTAGAGGTTTTCGACTCAAACTGCAGGCAGACTCATTTCATTTAAATGTGCCGAAATGCAATAATTAAAACATGATTCCGTGACAACTAATCTTCTGTAAGAATTAAACTTGTTTTGTCTCCTAACACAACTCTCAATGCTGGTAGCCGTCTCTCTTTACCATGTGCCCAACGCACAAGGCACATTGACAGTGATGACTTAAAACTCATGACCTCTTTTTTTCTGAACTTCCATGATTTCATTCATTTGAAAAAGTCAAAATGCTCAGACATTAAAACATGCTTCTAGGACACATTTAATTAATCGTCTGTATGTATAAATTAAAATATTCGACTCGAGATTTTTCCGGTTTTTTTTTTTTTTTTTTTTTTTTTTTTTTTTCTTTTTTTCAAAACTACCGTTGGAAATAGTCTTTACTCATTTGAATGTTTCCCATTGCTCGACCAATGGAAACCCGATTCCGCTTCACATTTAGCTGACCCTTTGCACAACTCAAGATTTGTTTCTGCGCTTCCGTTGAGAGCCAGATGACTCACTTCACACAATGCCGCTAACGAGGCAATCCTGACTCACTCGTGGTCAACTTGAGCGGGGTCCAAATCGACGCCCAGCGCTCGTAGAAAATGAAAAGAAGCCACTTTCTCGGGCTTCCACGGCTTGGGCGGCGAGCCGAATTTAACGAACAAAAACACCTTATCTGCACGGAGTTGCCATTGCAGTTGCGCTGTTTTTATTTCGGGGCAGTGCGTTGGCGACGATCGCGGACAATGGACTCGGATTGCGACTCTCCAGTGCCGGACGAAAATGGGCATTCGCGAGCCTTTATGACCCGTCTTGTGTAAAAAACACGTAACTCGAGTATAAAATATTGTCTCTAATGCGCTTTCTGCGGATATAACGCGAGCTTGCACTCAACACCAACCGGTACTCCTGTGATCAAGAACCACCTAAGGAGCAATGGGAATACGTTGTAATCACGCGTTTTTTCAAAAATTTTTGCGTTGCAATATAAATGGCCTCTGACTCAACTGCGGGTCATTTGTGCTTAGAAAATATCAGCGAATGACAGTTCGCTGCGGTTTGACCAAATGGTCAGTCGACTCAGAGTATAAATGCACTAACTTCAAGCTATTTTGCTGCAAAAGTTCGATATTTTGACATTTCTGACGCCTTTTAGCCCTTCTTGCAAAAGTTGACGAATTAGATGAGTAAAATGAACATTGCTAAACTTTATTGAACCTACCATTACTTTCACTAAAGTAAGGCACCCCAATACACAGGAAACATACATCAATGAGCGGAGCAAGCATAAACACTACGGAATAAACCCAAGATCATGATACATAAAGTCAGGAGAAAAAGTTATATATTTTATTTATGATTTTGCCTGATTTCATTATCACCTCTCGATTATCACCTATCATTTATTTTTCTTATGAAAAAGTGAGGGAGCTCTTGAAACCATCTCGATTACACAGAGCCGTTTACGAATCGTAAAATTCAGGGGTCTTAAGCTCTCAGCAATCGCAAAATCCACGGGAAAATACGTAGTTTTACCTTCTTCACTCACAAGAAAATGCTAACAAGGAGCTCTGTTTCTTTATTGCTTGGGCCAAATAAATTGCCGGAAATTTAAAAGTGGGTTTGCTCAGTCTCTACTTTGCAAAAATTATTCCACAACCGAGAAAGTTTTGAGAAAAACTAAGAGAGCATAAACAATTAAAAATGAGAAAAATTGGTTATCTTCGAAGGTGTGGGTGTGTGGGAAACGGAAACTTTTGGCAGAAAGTTGATTAAACTTTTGAGATTAATGAACACTCAGAGGTAGAAGAAAGCAGGAAAAAACTTCCTGTGGTCTTATATCTCTGTTTTGTGGGATTCTCGCAAAGCACCGAGTTCCTTTACCATAAACTTCAGATTCAGCAGCTTTCATACGCACGGTAAACTGGAACTTTATCTTTCCGCATTTTAAAAGGTTTTAACTTAAGTTTGACAATAATTTCAGACCGTAAAAGGATTGGCAAAATTTTTAACAGACAACACAGGAGAAAACTCGAGTGAAAACTGGCGTGAAGCGGTGACCTTGCCTCATTGTCGGATTGCCTTCAATTTTCTGTATAGGCAACCCGAGCTCCTATGCGGCCGAATTGTGGTATCACTCTCGAATGTCACGATCACCCGAGGAAGGAAGCAGGGATGCGTGCATGGTGTGCGGAGTGTGGACTTCACCTCATTGTAGGATGACAATCCTAAAGATGATAATCTTTTACCTTTTGTATCAGGGCTAATTAACAATAAAAAAGAGTCTAATGTCTCGAAATTTACAACCATATAAGAATTTTATATTGTTACCATTCAAAAGGTAAAATAAATTAATCTTTAGATTTTAGATAAAACCATGTTTTAAATATCTAGTTATTAAATAAATATAATAATTTAATTAAATATTGTTTATTATTTACTTATTTGATAATCTCAGTATAGCCTTCAGTCTTCAGTATAGGCAACCCGAGCTTCTGCGTGGCCGAATAGTGGTATCAATCTCAAATGTCACGATTGCTTGAGGGAAGGAGCAGGAATAAATCCCTAGACGTCCAAAAGGACGCTTGGCGTAGAGCGGTGACTTTATCTCGTATTTTACTAGTTTTTGCGGAAGTTTTTCCGGTTTATCTTTTTGAAATCGCCCTGTGGAAAACTTAATATCCTTAAAGTGAAAATTCTTTTGAGGAGCACAGGTTTCAAAGGTGCTTTGAAGACTTCTCGCCCTTGGAAAGTTCGATCTTCTTTAACGCGACGGTTCCCTCGAGTGAGGGATAAGACAGTAACATAAGGTTATTTGGTGATCAAATTCATTCTCGACATTCGACAGCGGAGCGATGACGTTTCAATGATCAACTCGAACACATGTCCAGAGGAAAAAATTCGCGAATTCGTGAACGAAGAACGGAGACAACTGCGCGTGGGCCTGAACTGGCTGCGGCACGTCACTACGAATACGCGAGATCTTTTTCATTCATCAAGGTATGTGTTGAGTTTTGGGACGGATTAAAACTTTGCTTTCATTAATACTCCGCGTGCAAGGGCGCCACCCACTTTCCGCAACCTCGGATCTTCCGGTGTCGATTACTTGGATTTAGGTGATGGACTCGCCGAGGAGCCATCGGAAAGTTGTGTTGGGCTTCCGTTGTCAAATCGTGCTCCGCTCGAGGATTTTCGTGCAAAAAAAGGACGGAAGCACTTTTAGGAATGTTTACTATTGGCGGATCCAGCAAATTGACAACATCGTTTTTCTCCATTTAAACCTATGGAAACGTACATATCACTGAAAAGAAGAAGAAGAAGAAGAAAAAAAACACATTGGATCTAGAGTCCAGACTCTTAAAAACATCAACAAGAAAAAATACTCTTGATTCAATCAGATTTAAGATTAAATCAAGAACCAAGCCTCTTAATTTCAGCGGATTTCCTTTTGATTTAAGCTTAAAGCTGATTGAATCAAGAGTATTCTTTCTTGTCAATGTTCTCCAGAGTCTGGACTCTAGATTCAATGTGTTTTTTTCCAGTGATGGATTCTTGGAGAGGCGGGCCAGGTGCTCTGACAAGAATGGAGTATTTAC